CACACACACACGCCCGCACATATGCATCTTCATTTTCCAACACCAACAAAAGATTATAACTGTAAAGTCCTGGAAGTTGCAAGCATGCATACCCTTTCACCACACTCTAGCTACTACCCGGCACTTAGACATACAGTAGATCTAGTAGTTTCTCACTCACAGCTCAAACTGGTCGCCATTGATCTCCACAGCACGTAATATCTAGAACCACACACACACCCATGGGCTCACACACGAGGAAATTCTGAAACACTGCTCACCCCGGGCGCGACTAGACCGGGACATGGGCGCGTGCATACAGTGACAGAGTGAAAATGTGTGTGAGGGGGAGGGGAGGAGGGGGAGGAGGGTGGAGGGAAAGGGGGAGGGTCAGCCAACAACCAGTGGCACCGAAGTCCTCTCTTATTGACGATCGATTGGAACCAGAGACGTTGGGAATTAGGCTACGCTCGGCGACAATGACCGACTGCATCGGTGGGAACTTGTGGTGAGATGTGGTAAGCCTGAATGTCTGTCTGTCTGTCTGTTTGCCTGTCTCTCTCTATCTCTCTCTGTCTGTCTGTCTGTCTCTCTCTCCCTCTCTCTCTCTCTCTCTCTCTCTCTCTCTTTCTCTCTCTCTCTTTCTCTCTCTCTCTATCCCACGCATTATCTGTCTGTCTGTCTGTCTGTCTGTCTGTTTGTCTGTCTGTCTCTCTCTCTCTCTCTCTCTCTCTCTCTCTCTCTCTCTCTCTCTCTCTCTTCCTCTCTCCCAGATACACAAACGTGTCACGGTTTCTCATAACAAACGAGTTAATAGCACATATTATGTGTACTTCTGTCGGTTACAAATGAAAGACTTATTTTATAAGAAAAATGGAACACCTGTTTACAACAACGTGATGACTCAGAGAACACACAAATGCCAGCCTAAATTAACCAAACCCTTTTAATCACAGTTACATAATACCAAACTGCAGTCTGACACGCACATAGTAAAACCGGCGGCACGCGGAAATCTTTTCGTTTTGTACAAATTTCGTTATATAGATCTACATGTTTTGAATACAAAGAATAGATCTACATGTATAAGAAACATTTGGGACCTAAAAATATCATGTTCGCTTTGTGAGTGCTAGACTGTATTATAATTCAACTAGCTCTGAAAAGCAACAGGTTATAGATTTGAAGATATTGTTCTGAGCAATTTACCGATCGACGCAATCTTAAGATTGCGCTGCGCGTTTTAACGATCGTAAAATTGTATCGTTCTTATGAGCTCTTCAGTTTCATATTTTAATTTTAATCTTCATATTTTTACACTTTTGAAAATATACTTGAAAGTTCCATGATGTGAGTAAAAGAATAAAGATGGAAGTGAAGTGAGCTTTGAGTTTGATTACCTGGCATTGCATCACACTTGTGGGCTCTTCAGATATTTTTACACTTTTGGTAATGTATGTGAATGTTCCTTGATGTGAGTAAAAGAATAAAGATGGAAGTAATTTTTTTTTTAATCATTAAAAAAATATAAAGTATTAATAACGCAATCTTCAGATTGCCGAGCAATTATACGATCGTTAAAACGCGCAGCACAACCTTAAGATTGCGCCGATCGGTAAATTGCGCGGAACAGATACCATGACTTTCACAGAAACAGCTATCTGCACCACGAGCAGAAGGCAAACCTACGTGTGTGGTGTATTGTTTAGCCTCTTTACTTTTGCACACAGAGGAAGTGAGTTCGATTCCCGTGTCGGGAGCCCTTTTTCTTTAAAACTGAGTACCTCTGTCTGTCTGTTGGAACGTTGTGCCTGCCCCTTTCAACCCGGCTTTGCCCTGACAGGAAGGGCCAAAGCAGCCTGCCTCCTAAATAACCTAAATTGTGTCCACTGAGGTGTACAACATTTGTGATTTAGGTAGATGTAAGGTAAGCAGTGACACTGACGGTGGAACAAAGCACAGTAGGCCACACGTAGTCTATTGTCAGCATCACTCCACAAGCGCATTAGTCATTGTTTAAAGTTTGGAGAAAATTTTAAAAAGAGAAAAGAAAAGGAAAGCGCCAAAATCAGAACCAAGATTTGGGCCCTCGCTGTTTTTTTTTCTCAGTTTAGTATCTGCTTTAAGTTTTGGTAAGAGTCTGACGGCACTTGCAACACAAATAGCTCATAATATTATAAGTAAGTGCCGAAGATAAGATCAAGAGATGTTACTAGAGAGTAACATCAAATGGGAGGAGAAGATATTAGCCTACTTAGGACGATAGATGCTTGATAAGAAAGGAGTTAACCACACCAGAGCCCCCGCCGGTTACCCCCACTCGCTTTTTTGTTGTTGTTGTTGAGAACTGTGACAGATCCTAACAATACCATACCACGTAAGCAAAGATATTCAAATTCAGATGAGTCAATTCAATACACATGACTGCCAACTTAACCCCCCCCCCCTCCCCCCAATAAAAAACACAACAAACCACACAACAAAAACCAAAAACAACAGCAACAAAAACAAAAACAAACAAAAAATAAAAAACAAAAACAAAATACAGTTTGGTGTTCTGTTTATTTCCTTTTGCTATCTACCCTGATGACGATTTTGTTTCAACATGACCTCTGGGTCTTACTTGATCAAAAATCAAATCAGGTTTCTTTCTCTAGCGCTAGATCTAGCGATGTGGACTGACAGCTCGGTGTTGGCGATCAGAAAGAAAGGGCTCTTGGCTAACTCGCCCGCTGTGTTTTCCCCCACCCCACCATACCCTGTGGTGCATTCCGTCTGCTCGCGCACGTCACACATTCGCTCCGTCCATCACATTGCTGTGACCTCTCCATCCTCGCATCGGAGAAGTGAGAGGCATGGTAGCCCTTGATCATCTAAACTAGGCTTACGCTGGCATATCACATGATGCGTTCTGTTTGTCTGCGCATGCCACACCCTCCCTGCTCAGTTGCTCTGGCCTTCATTATTGACGCACATGGGCTCTCCTATTCTTTGTTTCGCAAGATCATCAACAAATTTCTCGACTGGCGAGGTTTTACGTTATGTATAATTGGCCTATGCACTGTGCACAGCAGCAGCAATATTCCGCTATAACCGACTCTCATGTTTGATAGCGCTATAGCAGTATTTTATTTACAAAGGAAACGAGGAGAAAAAAACGGGGTTTTAGAATAGTGTCTTTATAACAGACTTGTCATTTTTTCCGGACTCGTTATAAGTGGACTCCACTGTACAGAAATTTTTTCCCAACACAAAAATAGACTTCCATACTCAGACTTCTAAAAAAGTATGAAATTCGTTTTTAACCTACTGGTTGACAGCTATGAATACAGGACGCGGTAAAATGTACACGCTTTCCAAAACTGGGGTGCAGGAAGTTTTGTTTTAGTAGAGGTTTTGCGGCCCTTGCAACTGCAAAAGGTCACATGAGCGTCAAGGGGTGGATATCAACAGAGAAGTCCTTACAGGGAATCAGGCTTACTCTGCTCACCTCTCTAGCTTCAACAGCACAAAGTCTGCTTCAACTATTAAGGCATCCCGGAAATAGCGGGTTACAAGAGTGTGACAAACATACAAAAGAAGTAGAGGAAAATGACGATAGTAAGGATTAGGAAAGAAAAAGCAGCAGTTCCCTGTTGCAATTCAGGTACAATTATGAGCATGACATTGATGAATCAGCCCATTGTGCAGAAAGTATATTTGTTAACTGTGAAAGCAAACACACATCGACACAATAATGGCTATTTAGCGCTGGGAAAAAGAGACAGACAGACAGACAAAGTGCAGCGTTAGAAAAGGAATAGGACCCACCAGTGGCACCCTCCAACTACCTGCAAAATCTGCTCATTGACTTCTGAAATCATGGGAGAAGAATAAGGTTTCTCGAGAGACAGAACACTTCACATACACGCACGACGCACATACGCAAGCGCTCACACACATAAACACACACACATTGTATACACAAAAAACACCAGTGTCAGAGGTGCAATGGTTAGTGGCTTTGCCTTCACATGCCAAAGATGTGAGTTCGATTCCTGAGTGTTTGCTGGGACACTGTACTGTATCCATCTCATCCTGGGTTGGCCCTAACAGGCAGAGTTGATGCAGCCTGCTTCATAAATGATCTAAACTGTGTCAATGATGGCACAAAACATCAACAATTACATTTCTTGAGCTAAAAAATAATGGCAGGAAACGTATACACTGAACAAAGTCACAATAACAGGGTAGAGTTTGCAGCAGCAACAAGAGGTTTTTATTCAACAAATTATGTACATATCATGGTATCAATTCTTCAGCAACAAAATAAAGAGACAGGCGCTGAAAAGCATGCTCTCGCGCTGAAAAGCATGCTCTCCCACACTCTTGCATTCTAAAACAAATTCAGACAAAGGGAAACATCAGCAGAGACTACATTTCCTATACATTTAAAACCTTTTCAAACTAACACTACTGGCACACTCATTTCACAAGTTCTGACATCTCATTTTTTAAAAATTAACACAAATACTGCTGACAGTACAAATTTATGTAAATCAGCACTTCCAACTTCATGAAACAGACCAAGGGATGTTAGAATTTTTCTCTGATCTAACAAAAGAACAGTCAACCCTTCAAAAGTTGCTAACAAAGAAATAGCCAGATGTGTCGCTGGAGGGGAGGAATTATATGATTTCATCATATTAATATGTTGGAAAAGGCTTTTTGAAAAAACGTAGGTGTTTTTATGCCCTTATCAATGCAAAAAGCCTGTGGTACCAGTATCAAGGGAAAATTATATGATTTCATCACATTACGTTGGAAAAGTTTTCTTTTAAAGTATACGTTTTTACACTCCCATCGATACAATTTACATTATTTAGGAGCGGGCTTCTGACCTTGCCTTTTAAGAGCCAAGCTGGGCTGAGAGGGATTCAACATCTCAACAAAAAGACTGACATACACTCAGTAAAAATGTTCTCTCCACTCAGTAATCTAACTTGAGACTCCTGCGTGCGACAGCAGAGTGCCTGACCACTACACCACAAATGCAGTACAGCTCATTTGTTTTTGCTTCGTGACATTCCACTCAGTGGCAAAGTCAATGACCATTGGCACAGCAGAGACTTCATCTGGTTCCTTTATTGTGCAGACATATATTTTCAAAGATCTCCTTCATTCTATAACTTTCTAGTTCTTTGTACAACCCTGCTAGACACCTCACAGATGAAGTGGTCCACCGTGAGAGCCTATAAGTCGTTTTTTAAAGATCAATCTGCAACAATATTCTGTCAACCATTTTTCGTAAGTTAATTTGCTCTGCAACAGTTCTTCTGTCAGCTATTTTTTAGCAGACGCTCCTCCAAGGCACTAACAACCGTCTGTGTCCTGTGTCTTCTCGCATGCGCCTCCGTCCTGTCGCGGAAGTCGTAGTCCAGAAGGTCGGGTTCTTTGTCCGTCACCCTGGCGTAGGCGTCGCACAATCGCTTGATGTCTTTGTTAGTCAGCTGAAACGGTCGCACCTGTTGACCGATGCCGGACAGCTCAAACATGTCACAGATAAGATCTTCGCGGTGAGGGGGAAACAAGGTGCTGGAAGGAGAAATAAGTAAAAAAAATATAAACAGTTGTAAAAAAGCTGAATCAAGGTATGGAATGCTGTAAAATGCAAAACTGCACAATATGCAAATGCTGGCATATTTACAGTTGACTAGCTAGAGATGAATTGATATCATCGAGGGAGTGAAAAATAGATCAGCTCATCTGAAGTTCAACTTACCAGTTGGGACCTGTAAAAGAGAGGAGGTGCTGGGACCTGAGAAAAAAATCAACTAAACTGAAGATCAACACAAGTGAGTTCAACACAGGTGAAGTCGACTGTATCTTTTTAAAAAATCAAAAGAACAGAAAAAACATATAGGTAAAAATGCCTACATTTGTAACAAAAAGGAAATCACTGGCCAGATGTTCAGTCAGATGTACTAAACCAAAAATTTTGAAAATTCTTTTTATTGCAGTTTCTTAATATGAGATATCGTTGAATGTGCTCCCAAAAAAATTGTCAAAATAGTTGTGGCTATCCTCTTTTTCAAGACTGTAATTGATCTGTAGCATTTAAGAGTTAGTTTCTCTTTCCCGGTTCAGCATCTCAGTAGCTCAGTTTAATTTTATCTCTACGCTCAATGCCAACAGCACTGACTGACCTGAGCGACTGTTTACAGAGTTTGTTGGGGAGGTGGAAGAGATGGCGGTTCACTCGCTCCACCAGCTGGAAAGGTTGGGAGATGAGGGGCTTCACTTTTGGGGTAAAGTGCACGACTCCGACATCCACTTTTGGGGGTGGAACGAAGGCTCTGCCTGTGGGAAGAAAAGCAAGGGGGAGAAAACTTGAACATTAGTCACAAAAACCTTGAAAAATTTTTTTAAAAACCTTGAAAAAATTAAGAAGATTTGGCTTGTTATTTCAGTTTAAAAATTTGAAAAGAAGAATTGTATGTTTCACGCCAAATACAAAGCACTTCAACTTGAAACATTCTAGCGTCATTTTGCAAGAGAAATGTGTAACTCCAGAACATGTTTTATGTTTTAGTTTTAGCAAGGTTTTACAGCGTTCACAACTGCATAAGGTCATATGAGCGCCAAGGGGTGGATGTCAACAGAGAAGTCCAATCAGAGAATCAGGCTTACTCTGCTCACCTCTCTAGTCTCAACAGCACAAAGTCTGCTTCGACTTCAAGACACTCCAGAAAGAGCAGTTCGCAAGAGAGCGACAAACATACAAGAGAAGTAGAGGAAAAATGACAATAGTAAGGATGAGGGAAAAAAAAGCAGCAGTTCCCCTTATGTTGTTCTGGCACAGTATGAGGACGACCTTGATAACTCAGCCCATTTTACAATTCTACTGTGCATAAGAACATGTTAATCCCCCCTTTGGGAATGGTCTGAAGACAGCTTCAGTCAGTAGCACTGCTCTGGTGGGGGGAATCTCCACTATATGCCAGTAAACATTTTCTGCAGTAAGCACAAAGAAATGACTATGAGTGCAGAGAAAAAGCTTGTCAGTGAAAAGAACGGAAAGGTGACTAACAGAGAAGACCCTCAGGCACCTTGCTTCTATCCATTAAGAGAGAGAAAACATTTTCAAAGCAAATTCTGAGACTTGGAAGTATGCTAGCTAGATTCAGTTTCTTAGTTTTAGTTTTAGCAAGAGTTTTAAGGCACTTGCAACACAATAAGGTAAAAAAAGTGCCGAAGACTAAAAGTGTTACAAGAGAGTAACAAACACAATTAAAGGAGGAGAGAAAAGGACGATAGATGTTTGAAAGGAAAGAAGGAGCAAACCACACAAGAGCACCCGCTAACCACCCGCATTCAGTTTCTGGCTTGTCAACTTTTTTCAAAACCCAGTCAGGGCAATCCAACCTTTGAACATTAGATTACGTCACCCCAAACACAATCACATCAAGTGGGACTGCTTTGGGTGTAATGTAGGTGATAAGGCTACAAAATCCTCTAAAATTCCCAGCTGCCAAATCTGAGACAGTCCCAGGAAATTCAGGACAGTTGGCAAGCCTGCGGTTTTAATCCTGCTGTAATTATGTGATCAAGAGAATATTTCTCGAGAAGAACCTACCAGGAATTGTGAACTTGAGCTTGACATCACACAAGTACTGGCACATGGCAGACAGGCGACATCTGTACTCTGACTTTGGCGGGGCGATGATACGTTCTGCAACCTAAAATTTTTACAGAAATGTGAGGCATGTAGATAAAATAGGCTCCTTCTCTGATTTAACTCCTAAGGAAGTAGATACGTCAAATTTATAGCTCTAGGTTGAATTTGTAAATTTTTTAGTCTGAAATGATAAGAGACATGTTAAACTTGAAGCAAATGGCATCAGTTGAAAATCTAGAAATTCGACCCCTGTGTCAATTTTTGGCTAGTATTTCCATTCATGGACTGAGAGTAGAGACTCATTTTGTCAGCATGCTCAACAGATGTGTCTGCAGGCTTCAATAACTCTTCCTGTGATATCCAATAGGTGAAACGAACCCAGTTAAAAAAAGAAAATACCAAATAAGCAAAAAATTCGTGAGACAAAAACATCTTGATATTAACAAATTTTCCCCCTCTCCATCCAAGTCCTAATGATAGGACATAACAGTGATAAACTGGTACAGCATGTCGAATAATATGGATTATTTACCTTTAAACAAAATACCATGATGAGAGGTCGTATTATAATCATTAATAACTGTGGACATCATCATACTTTTGTCTACAATTTTGTATTTGTTGCACTTTACAAACAACATATCAGTTCCACTCTTCTCATAAAAAAGTCGAGGATTCATTAAGATTATTATTCCTAAGTTTCTTAAAAAAAGGGACAGAATCAGCTATAATAAGTTGAAAACTTTCAAGTATCCAACTGAAGAAATAAAATAAAAACAATACCTCCTTTTGAAAAGTGAGAGTAAGAGGCACTCTCCCACAACTCCATGCATTCTTTTGTGTGGAGATGCTTTCCAGCCACTGAACGATCAAGGGAGTAGCCACGCTAAAAGGGAGATTTCCGATGATGTGCACATTCGGAGGATTGTCTGCCCATGCCACTTTGTGTTCTGCTGGAATGACTGACTCCAGGTTAAAGTTCAAAATGTCACCGTGGATCACGTCCAGTTTGTTCTTACTAGCCTCAGACAACAGCTGGGGATATAATGACAATGAATTGTAAAGCAAAGTTGTTATATATATAGAAATGCTGGACAAGATTTATTGTTATATTATTGTATCGAAAATTGTGGGTTTCTAAAAGTCACATTGTCTTATAATAAGCTGAATGAAAATGGGACAGCCAAATTCAAAGAAAAACCAGTTGTGCCAAACCAGAACGAAAACCATTTGCAAGGCAATGCATACATGAAGCTCAACATGTGGGGAAAAAGTTCACGAGGGTTCAGAACAGGAAAAAACCTAAATAGAACAATAGGAAATAGACTTATTTTTAACTAAGTTGCTACTTTCAACACAACAGTAATTATTCATAATTGCTACAAGAATATCAAAATATAATAGCCAACATATATAATAAAAACTACAAGCTCTTAGGAAGAAGCAGTATACGCCTTGGACATACCACATCATTTCCATAGAAAATGGTAACTACAACCTTTAAATTAATTCTCCATGACTGTAGTCAATTCTGCTACGCCAAATATAAGCAATTCAATGTATAAATAACAAACTAACAGAAACAACTACAATCAAACTCGGATATATAACTGGACAGACGGGACCGGCAGTTTTTCCCTGTTTAAAAGCGAGTCCCATTGCACCTTTAGCTTCTCTCTCTCTCTCTCTCTCTTGACCTTTTTAACTCCCAGTGGAGCATAGGCCATCAACAACATTTCTCGAAGCCTGTCCTGTGCATCCTTTTCTAACTGTTTCCATGATGTCCCCGTCTTTTCCATTTCCGCTTGTACTGCTCGCCTCCATGTCATCTTTGGTCTTCCTTTCTTACGTTTTCCTTGTGGATTCCACATCAAAGCCTGTCTAATGATGCTTGTCGGGGGTCTCTTCAGGGTGTGCCCAATCCATTTCCATTTCTTCACCTGTATGTCTGGCCTTTCGCTTGTTCTTTCCCACAGTTGAGCATTTGTGACTCTATCGTACCACTTGATCCCCACTATCCTTCTTAGGCATCCATTTATGAAGCTCTGCAGTTTCTCACCTTTAGCTTACTAGATGTATTCGATTACTGCAGATCCTTTTCCAGAGGGCTGTTTTGCGGACACTGAGACGGAATCGATCAATGAATGACCCTAACACTATGGAGGGGGGGGGGGGTGAAAATTTATGTTAGGCAAGCAATCATATAAACAGGCGAAATGTCTTGGTTGAGACAAATGTTGATAATTTTGACGGATCGAAAGCAAGTTAATGCACTGCAAGTTCATTGTTATATCCGAGTCTGCGCAAATTGTACCCTATTACAGCCAGGTTCATATTACTTACACTTAGTGAGAAAAAAACAGGAATTTGATTTATCTCTGTTATATATATCCAAGTTCCTGTAATAACAGAGGCTGTTATATGGACTGGACAATAAAATGCCTCCCCCTCTCTCAACAGCAGCAAGAAATCAATGCAATAATGATCATCTATAATTTAACATCTCATCATTCAAAATACAAAATCTTGTTTTGTCTCATCCAGACACTTTCTTAAGTTTGCTCAATCAAATTTAAAAAGTAATTTGACACAACACAGGGAATAGAGATCACAATCATATCACCTGTAAACTTGGTAGGAACCTTTTATCTTTTTCAACAACCAAGACTTTCTCTGCCCCAGAGTTCAGGATGGGTCTGGTGATTCCGCCCGGCCCTGGACCAACCTCTATCACAAAACAGCCGTCTATTTTCCCCGCAGACTTCACAATTTTTTTGGTCAGATTCAGATCTAAAAGGAAATTCTGTGATAGTTTTTTCCTTGCTGAAAGTCCAAACATTCGGATGATTTCTTGAATTGTTGGGAGCGGAGGCAGACGTGCCACATTTTGAAGGGACATGACTGGAACTTGAAGTCTGAGAAAGAAAGAGAAGGTGAAATCAATTCGTTCAAAATCTTTTCAAGTTACGAACGTTATTTTGTTTAAAATCGTTACTTTAATTAGCTACTCCAGCTTTCAAGAGAAAAGCAAAGCAAAGCTTTCACAGTTGTAAAGTCATTAGAGGAAATTTAGATCTAGGATCTATGGACCCCATACAAACCAGTAGTGGGTGTACCCATGCTTAAACAATCCTAGAGAGACTCCTGAGCTCAGAGCATGCATCCTTGACCTTTGGTCCTTAAAATCAACCTCTGTGAGAAATGTTTCCTGTGTGCCAGGCTTCTTTCTTTTCATTCGCATTTTTTATGAATATTTAATTATGAAGTCTTCATG